TCCGTCTCCATCTCTGCCTACACCATCACTCACCTTCAACGTGGCAACAACACCTGTCCATGACAATGAAGGAACCTTTTTCCACACGGGTATACCGATCAAACAAGACCCAGCTGCTCATTACTGGTCCAACGTTTTTGGATTCCCGCCAAACCTGAAAACCGAGACCCGACCGATAGCAACATTTGGGTCTGATCTTCACAACAATTCTCCGGGATTTGCGGTAATGCCGGTAATGCAAGACGGAGGAAACAACTTTGGTGGTGGGTTTGTCGAGTCCGAAGGGTATAACACTCATTCAGCTGCATCGAGTCCTGTCTCGGAAATTCCGTTACCCTCAACGACAACAGTAGATAATGGTAACGAAGGGTATGGTGGGAACATGAACTGGATAAGTAACAACACTTCAAATTCTTACCAAACTTCCAAGTCGAATCTATCTGTCTTGCAGACTCCGGTTTTTGGATTGGAATGAGCTCTTTTTAGTGGAGAACCAAAGAAAAGGTTGTAGGATAATAAAGAAAAATGCGTTGTTTGAAATTGGATATTCCCTTGTTAGATTATTTAAGTAGTTTTCTTAAAGATATTTTCGCTTTTATGTTTGTCTACTGACCAAGAATCTAGTGGGGACCTGACAGTACTAACTGTTTGTGTTCATTTTTCTCTTTTCAGAATGAGCTCTTTGGCCTTGATGGGTTCATTTTTCTCTTTTCAGAACAATTTGCTTTTTACTTTTTTTTTGGTGTTTCGACATGAATGATTGAAGGTGGACGATATGTGAATAAATGAAAAGATCGATCTTTGGTATCTGAATATCGTCTGCATGGCATGTTTTTTTTGTGTGTTATTAGTGTCTATGAGAATGCGCAACATATATGGCTTTTTTTTTGGCATGTATTATCACGTACCTTTGTTATCTTATTCTATGTCTCAACTCAACCTGATCTCGGTATTAATTCATTTTCCAATTTAAATTACTCATCCAAATAACGAAAGTAAAAGGCTTGGTAACTGATCCACAGCAAATTGTTGCCCTCTAAAATCGGTATTTTTGTCTGGTGCTACACCACTCCACTTTGTTTTCATACGCACTTCAGTTTTACAAATAGCTTCGTTGTTGATACTCTTATCGTAGGTATTGTGTACAATCATAACACTAGTTACATAACCAAAGACTAAAAAGGCTTCACGTTTGTAGACAATATGTGAGCCTAAAGCTTCTCATTGAAAGGCCGTGTCAGAATTCACTTGAATTTGTCCATCCTTTGCACGTCACTGTTGTCATCGTAACTATTTGTAAGTCACTACACATACATATATATGCCAGGGTTAGTTGGTCCATGAGCCCATTGTCAATATCTTTTTTTCTAATGCGGTGACATAAATGAGGGTATAACATTATTTCTTGATAATCTTTTATATATTAAAATAGAAATATTGTAATAAATGCATTGACACAATAACTGACATGTGTCGGTTTCACAATCATTTAACAATTAATGTGCTCACACACTATTTTTTTAAATTTATTATTTGATGTGTTTATACATTATTTTTAAAATTCATTTTCCTACATTTGTAACCTTTATATTAATAATTAATTTTTTTTTACGTTAACCTAATAAATAATATGTTCATTGTAAAAAAATTACAAAATCATTAAGATTCGCATCAATTAAAATGTTGCGATGAAAATGTTTGTAGAAATTGAAAGTTTCGTACCTTATCGAAGTTGGTCATAGTTAAGGTTTCGGTACACAATAACAACAAATACCGTGATTGATTAGGAATTAAAGAAACTGAGATGAAAAACACCACACGTAAAGTCAGATCTTTAGTTTAGTCAAATATTAACATTTTATAAAGTTTACATATCAGACAAAAAATTAGAGACAAAATCAAATTGGTAGGAAAAATTCAGAAATAAAAACACTTTTAAAAGAAATAAAATCACAAAATCGATTAAAAACAATATTCAAATAGCAAGTGAAGATGTCACTTTGTAATATACATTATTTTTATTATTTACGGGTACAATTTGATTTTCTTCATATAAAAAATGTTATTAATTTCTAAGTTTATTTTATTTTACTTAATTTTATTTAAGAATTTACTTTCATATGTTATTTGAACAAAAATGTTTTAAATCTTAGTTAACGGTATTCATATATTTAGTACACATTGAGATGACGACTATATAACTAAATATTCATCACAAGTGAAAATTTTAATTTTTATTGAAGTTGAATTTTTTAAATATTTTTTTTCACTATTGCTTAAACTATAGTGAAATATTTTGTGTTAATAATTTTTTTTTCTTCAAATATTATTTAGATTTTATTTGAAACATGTCTTTAGAAATTATAATAGAAAACTATTTGTTCGACATAAAAATGTCTAAAATTTATATAAAACGAAACCAAACAAATAACAATAATTTTTGGTTATCATCGAAAAAATTAAAAACATTAAACATTTAAACCAAACAACCAAAATAAATATAGATTTAAAATGATAATTATATTTTATGACATTAAATAAAACAACGTAAAACTAAAACAATATATATACTAAACAAACATAATACTATTTTATTTTAAAAATAATAATTTCATTCCGCGTAACACTTTGATTATTAACTAGTTTACTGTATAAATTACCAAATGGTTGGCAGCAAATAAAAGTTTCTAGATGGTTGTGTGGTCCTTGAAATATGGGTTAGAACCCATTTCAGTACCAAGGGTGGGTTCGTCTAATAGCAGCACTAAGGGTGGGCTTGTCTAATAACGGACTTTCACCTCTTTTAGGAGTTTATCATATCCAAGACAGTTTACCACAAGAACTCCACCCTGTACAAATAGGATTAACGATATTTTTTTTTTTGAAAAAATTAACGATATATTTCCATCTGAAAACTATCGTAAAACATCATGTTCACACAATATTAAGACCTATTCTAAATAGCAGTCAAATGATAATTGAATCCATGAATTTAAAATCAAGTCATATTTACCTCTAAACAAAAAATTGAAATCAATTAACTCCCATACCACAATGAAGTCTGGTTTAATGTATACAAATACATACTTAACTAATAGAAACCAATAAAACTCAAATAATACCAAGAAAATGTCCAGTTAAAGTCATTAATCTTCCACTTATTCGTATAACCCAAAATCCAAATAAAAAGAAAATAGGATACCAACGTCACATATCATTTCTACAGATTTTTGATATATTCACATCATTCTAATTATAAAATTAATAGTCTAATTATAAAGTAAATCGTTTATTTTTAGTTTTTATACAAACTTATTATTTTAATTTTTTTTGTAAATATAGAGTATATCTCTAATTTAGATATTATAAAAAATAATTAATTTATAAAATAATTATTATACATGTTAAAATTGAAGGTGTGTTGAATGATTAATAAAAAATGATGTGAAACGTAAAAAAATAGAACTAAAAATGTCGAATTTAAAACGTTAGAAACATATTTTAAAACCATCATCTATAGCCTAAGGGTGGACCGTACGTGGAGCTTAATGCTTCAAAGAATAAAAATGACATGCGGGAGTTTAGTGGTTGCTTTGGTTCTTGAAACATCTCTTATATTTTTATAGCATTGATATTTACGAACCAAATAGGCTGATAAACTGCAAATAACTGAAAAAGAGTAAATGTTTACTAACTAAATGTTAATGTTATTTCGACCTCAAACAGCTGTAAGGTAGTCAAATCTTTATCCATGGAATGCATTGAAATATTCTTATAATATTTTCAAATAATCTCTAACTCAAGGATATTAACATATACACTTGGAAGCATGCCAGTTGCCACTGTTGCCAGTCAATTCAAAGCATGTGTATGTAAATATAATATCTTCGAAAGCACGTGAAGATAGTGGATATTTACAACTTTTTTCGGTTTATATGTAAATTAAAAAAAAAAAAAAAATTCTAAAGAACTTAAAAGAAAAAAAGCTTTCAGAGCAGAAGCTTCATCAGAGGGTTTTGTGTTAGTATAACATCTACAAAAAGAGTAGCTGAGAAGAACCATCAAACGAAATATATTTTATTTTTTCTTTCACAATACAACAAAAAACAACCAAGAAAAAAAAACGAAGAACACAAAGGAAAAAAAAATGCAAGCTGCTTCGGTAAATAGCTTCTCTTTGTTCGATGCTGTTGTTGGAAGTTTTTCATTCGGTGAAACAAGGAACCAATCCTCATTTTATTTTATTTATATATTTTTTGTTCATTCTCTGGTATTTATTTTTTTAATTTTAACAAAAATTCTCAATGTTTTGTTCTTCTAGAGCTTAACGATACTCCTCCTCGAATCTTTGTATTATACATACACACTAGCAGAAGGAGAGCATCATAGGGTTTCTTTTTGATTGTTTAAACTTTTTTTAATTTTGAAAAAAAAAAATCGGAAAATAAAATCTGAGCTTTTACCGATCTCTTTTGTTCTTTTTTTGAACTTGATCTCTTTTGTTCTTACGGATCTCTTTTTGTCTCTAACTTTTGTCTTCTTCTTTGTCTGAAATCTAATCTGCAGCTCTCAAAGAACTGGCGTTTTGATAGTACTGTGGGTCCAGAAGACATAGATCCTTCTTCATTTCAAGGTGAACGTTAACGTCCTTTTGTCTTCTCATTGTTCTAGTTTCATGCGTTCATATGCATTTTTAGGTCATCAACGCGACGTCGTTTTATTCATCGGAACTGTTGAAACATGATCATACACGCTTATTGATTCATCTTCATTAATGTCTATATAATGGTTGTCAGGTGGCTTTCTTTGTATAAATTTTACCCCAAAAAAAGTCAATAATAATTTTTTTGTTACTCTTATTCATAGATACTTGTTTTCTCCGGGCAATACGATCATGTTGTGGAGATTTTAGGGTTTAGATTGTGCCTTTTGCATTTACAGGCATTGTGTGCACTGAGTTTCCAAAAAAGAAAGGTTTGAGTGTAAGTGAAAGGAGGGAAATGATCCACGGATTGTCCAAGCAGCCAGAGGAAGCTTCAGAGCTTTTGAACTCATGGAGCCGAGATGAGATAATGAAGATCATATGTGCAGAGATGGGGAAAGAGAGGAAGTACACTGGTCTAGCCAAACCAAAACTTATACAAACCCTACTCAATCTCGTGTCTCGTCCTCTCGGTGAAACCTCTTGTCCTAACCGTAAAAACTCGAAAAAGAAACGTAAGACGACCAGTTACATCATTTGCTGCGAGAATATAGCTTGTAGAGCTGCGCTCGGTACCGAGGACACCTTTTGCAGGAAGTGTTCTTGCTGCGTTTGTCAGAACTATGATGATGATGATAAGGATACGAGTCTTTGGCTTACTTGCGAGGCTTGTGGATTGTCTTGTCATTTGGAATGTGCTTTGGAGCAAGAGAGGTATGGGATTGGCTGTGATGATGATGAAGTAGGAAGGGCGCTTGATGGTAGGTTTTATTGCATGTTTTGCGGCAAGGATAATGACTTGCTCGGGTAAGTATCTTTCGATACAAAATGTAAGGAGATTTGTTTGGAGGATGTGTAATGTAATAATAATGTGTGTGTGTTACTTACAGATGCTGGAGGCAACAAGTGAAGGTGGCGAAAGAGACTCAACGTGTGGATGTTCTTTGTTACCGTGTTTCTTTAGGACAGAAGCTGTTGAGAGGTACAAGGAGGTATCGGAACCTATTGGAACTCATGGACGAGGCAGCGAAGATGCTCGAGGGTGATGTGGGACCGTTATCGTTAAAGATGGCTTGTGGTATCGTCCACAGACTTTCTTCAGGATCACAAGTTCAGAAACTGTGTTCTCTGGCAATGGAAGCTCTGGACAAAATGGTCTCACCACCATCAGAATCTGTTTCAGGACAAGGTTAGTTTTCTGTTCACAAATTACTTATGTTTTGAAGTCAGAAGATGTTGTTGACTTTAGTTGTCGTTAGGTGGTGACATGTTGACAGTGAGAGTGGAAGAGATTCAAGCAAGATCAGTCACGGTGAGATTAGACTCCGAGGAGCCATCTTCTTCTTCGCAAAATCAGATCAAGGGTGTGGAGGATGATGCTGGGAACATGCAAAGCCTATTGACAAACTCTAGCAATGGTCTTTGTAGTAATACTCCATCTTTACCAGAAGATGAATCAGACAATGTCCTAACAAGCTGCTGCAAAGAAAATGGTGACAATGACAACACTGAAGTAGAATCTGAGCTTGAAGACGAGAGGCTCTTAAAAAGGAACGTTAACGAGATAGAGGGAAGAGGCTTGCTTGTAACACCCAAGCAAGGAGTAGATAAAAGATCAAAATCAAGAACAGTATCAACCGTGAACGAGAAACCTGAGACCAATGTAGCAAATGGAGTGGGAGGAGATAAAGACTTGGGTCATATCGTGAGGAGCATTAGATGCTTAGAGAAAGAAGGGCATATAGACAAGAGTTTCAGGGAAAAGTTCTTGACATGGTATAGCTTAAGAGCTACTCATAGAGAAGCTAGAGTTGTGAAGCTTTTCGTTGAGACATTTATGGATGATCAGTCTTCTTTGGGACAACAGCTTGTGCATACATTCTCAGAATGCATGATCAGCGAGAGATCATCATCAACAACAACTGGTGCTGGAATCTGCCTCAAGCTCTGGCATTAAATCTTTTGAAACCCGTTTTTGTATCTTAATATTCTAAAACCATAACGATATCTTATGTAAGTTCGCCAACACTACTTTGCTTGCTTCTAATGTATAGTACAAAACTTAAAACGAACAACTAAACTATAGTCTGAAAGATATTAGCCGGGAGGGAGATTACACTCATGACATTAACAATTCTAAATCCCCCGAACAAGAAAGTACATGTTTGATCTCTCAAGGTATTAGAACAGAGCCTGAAGGTAGAATTGCGTTAACAGCTACCTTGGAAATGCAGCTCGTACTCTCATCATCTGACTATTGTTTAATCAAACATAACAAGTACCTGCAAGATATGTGTGTATAAAAGAGAGTCAAAATGTTGCGGCATAGTCATGGCAGGCCCTGGCCCATGCTAAGTTAAGTGAAACATTTGCAACAGAAACACCAATTTTTTCGAAGAAAATTATATTAGACATAAGCTCCAAAAAAAATGTTAAGGCCCCCAAATATAAAAAAAAATAATAAAAATTAGTTGTATTTTTTAATAAATCGCTTATGCCCAAAAAATCTCAGGGCATAGTGATGAACATGATAACATAGAGTCAGGCAAAGAGTCACACAACAAGATTCTAGTTAAGAATGATGAAAACTTATTTACTTAAAATCTCTGAGATGTGGCTCACAAGTCTTAAGTCCTAGCTAGCTGAATCACACTAGTACAAACCTACACTACGTATCTTTTAACATATATCTTCCAATAATTCCAACTTGATCTTATTATTATTCAATCACAAATAGAGATTATTATCACAAACCTTCTTTAGCGGTTACGCTCAGCTGGCAAGGGACGGTTAAAGCCACCGCGACGGTTCATGTACTGCCTTGGCTGCCGCTTGGTAACAGCTCTGATGCCGCTGACGTCAGCGCCTTCAACAGGCTTGCCTTTAGTGGAGTCGAATCCAATTGGAATCCCTAACTTCTTCATCATCTCTATCTCATTCTCATCCATTATTCCTTCCTCCTCCCCAGGGCTTCGTTGTTTATCGTTTTTCTTATTAGGCTCTTTCGCAGTCTCGTCTACGGAATCAGACGCAGTTTTTTTGAGGTTTCTTTCCTTCTCGTCGTCGATTGAGCTCTGACGAGGCCGTTTCCGCGACGGAGAGGGGGTCCTGCGCCTGTGGTGTCTATGACGATCACGGTCAATTGAGCGGGAACGAGAGCGATACCTCTCCGGAGAGCGCGCGTGGCGAGGAGGACGCGCGTGGTGGTCTGGAGTACGAGATCGGGACTTCTTGCTCCTTAGTCCTCTTTCACGCTCTCTTTCTCGATCACGGTCACGATCGTCTCTTTCTCGGCGTCTATCACGGTCACTTTCACGGTACCTATCACGTTCGCGTCGTTCGCGCTCTGACATGGCGGTGATGCGACTAAGAACGGTGGTTGTGCGGGAAGTGGTTTTGACTTCTAACTAACTTTTTTTTAGCCTACAAAGAGACTCAGGTAAAGGTCCATTAAATACATTGTGGGCTTACGTCTTACTACCATAAAGGCCCATACTAAAAAATTAATCGAGCCTGGCTACTAATCCAACATCAGTCAAATTTAGTTTAACTTAAGTTTTATAGTAACTTGAACTTGTACATTTACGATGGTTACATAACAACGTACAATCATATCCCATCGGTTGATAAAGATCACTTTTGGGCTTCTACATTATAAGCTTAACGACATTCAATATCTTTTAAAGATTCCACGTACTCTAGGCCATAACCCCAAATGAATTGGAAAGTCAAGTAGAACCAAAATTACTTTAATTTTTTTCTGCTAAAGTTTTATATTCGATCACAGATATTGATTCATTGTAGTACAGTCTATATCCCACATGGAGAATATAAATCTTCTTTAAAAGATAAGCTAAGCTTCACACAGAGAAAAATTCAATCATTTTATCACGATCATTCTAATTAATAGGTTTCATATCACTGATATACGTTTATCATAGTATATTTTTTTTCGTTACAAACACTAGAACAAACAAAACAAATACAAAACAAATTATATGTTGAAAATAATTGCCTTTGATGAATATTTTTTATATTACAATGTCTAAATTTTGTTAAGATGTTTTACAAAATGTAAAAGGGACGTGAGAGAACAAGTGGGTTTGGTCGGTCGTTTCTTTACACTTATGCAACATTCCCTATTCATCCATATCTCCTTTCCACGAGATGCTCAAATTCCCCCACTATAATAATTCCTTTTCTTTATTTTAAATTTGATATATAAAATAAATTCCATAGAATTCATGAAAGTTTCAGATATTTACGAAATGTAACTTACTAAAAAAATATCAAAGACTATATAGTTTAATAGTTACCATTACTATTGAGAATAAGAACATGAAAATCAACAGCGTTGGTCCAACGATCTTCCAACAAAGCACCAAGCACGATTCGATTTCTTCATTCATTTACCACCTCACATTTGTTTCTTTTTTTCTCCTTCGCACGTTTATTATAATATTTTTTATCATGCGTTATGTTTTGCCCTTTAAACATTTATAGATTCAAAGACTTTTGAGTGCGTGGCTGTTCACAGAACCTAGTAACCTTCACTAGTCTTTATGTTTAGAAGTAAACCTTCATTAGTTAGAAAAATAGGAAGAGTTTCTGAGCTAAACTTGAGGTGGGATCGTGGGAGCCGAAGAACGTGAGATGCATCAAAGGCAAAGTCCAAAGTAATTACGTCATTGTTAGTGGATTGTGTACGTGAAGGTGTACGAACCATAATTCTACATGTGTTTTTTTTTTGTTAAGTATGTGAATTTCATTAACTTAATAATGAGGCAAAGAGATACAATGGACTTCGACTGATCTAATCCTATTGAATCTAAGTCGCTAAATCAAAAAGACAAAGCAATGGAGCCAAAGTAAGCCACAAAAAAAGTAAAAAGACTCACTAAGACTAATAAACCTCAATCACAACCATGAGGATGCGAGAGAGCTTAGCTAGTTTAACAGATCCTAAGACAACCATTTAGCTAACAGGAGACCAGAGAGAAGATCTTGAAGTCGGAACCTACATCAAAATCACTAAGGTCATAAGAGAATCGCAACCGGAGAACAGTCCGAGGGACCGCGGACCATCCCGTAGGCGACATCCAAAGAAGGACAGGCGAAGCAGGGTCGGCAAGCCCTGGTCCGGCCATCACAAGCAATGAAGTCCACTCCAGACGTTGCTATCTCAAGAAACTGCCACACTATGCTCTGATAATCCTAGCTGATGTAAAGGAACCGGTATATGAAGCAAAGGTGGAGTACTGGCAAGTGGAAGCAGAGGTTTGGATGGCTGGACTCTGGTCCCATCACGCGAGAAGAGCACGAGGGATTCCGGCAACAAAACACCAAGAGAGGCAGAGGACAACGACCAGCTTCCTTCTGAAGCTTGAAGAATGGAGGAGCCAGAGCTCCTTACAACAGGAGAAACTTCAGGAAACACCCGTCCGAGGAAGTCAGAGAAACGGAGTAACGGCACGAAACTCCAATCTAACCCAAACCGTACAGGTCGAAACCCAAAGAAACACCAGGCGGTTGACGAGGAACCATTACCGAGAAAGAAGTCCCCGACGACGAGCCTCACATTGTCTTTTCAACTTGGAACAAGAGGGGGAAGTTCTTACCAAAGCAGCCGCAAGAGGAGTCAGAGGAGACCCGGTGGAGGCAGAATACTGACCAGAACGGCGAAGGCAGCGACGCAAAGCCACTCCGGCGAACCCTCCAAGAGAGACCTGACCCAGATCTACTCCGGACGAAACCCTAGATCTACCAGCTTGACGACGCCTCCAGCTCAGATCCGGCTCACCACGACCTCGCCATCTCTCCAAGGAAGCTGAGGACACCCAAAGCCACCGGTTTTAATCGCCTGGTCCGGCCGCAACCCGACAAAAAACAGAGAAGATGAAGCAAAGAGAAAGTGGAGGAGATAGAAGCATGAGAGGATAGAGGCTAGGAACGGAGATGGAACGGGGTGGCGACCGACGGGTAGAGACCCTCCGTCGGCTACCGGAACGAGAGGCGCTGAGGTGATGTCGAGGCGGAGAAATTGGTGGGGAGAGAAAGATAGAGAGAAAAGACTCTCTCACCTCTCTCTAACTTTTTTAATTTTTTATTCTCGTGAAAAGTTTTAATTCTACATGTGTTGCTAGGCTCCTTTATCTATCCCCACAATCCAACTTATTTCTAATTCTTTTTCATATAAATTCGTTTGTAACTAAACTAATTAAACAGCTACAATAACATAACTTGTATATATGCACAATTGTTTCCTTATAAAAAATATGTTTTGCTCTAGTCTGTACCACAACGATGGGACCATGATATTCGGTTAACAAAAAAAAAAAAATGTTTTGCATGATTGTTCCTAACGAATATTTCTTTCGTTAATTTTTTTCTTTAACATTAGGTTTTAAATTCTTGTTTCTACTAATAAAGGCAGTGATAAGCCATGCAACTTTTATACCATTTGAATGTACCGTTTAATACTTTGAATGCAGCACTTTTATATATTACGTACTGACATGATTTCTTCACTAAGTTTTGCGCTAAGTCGCTAACCATAAATCTATCACACTAGTCCCATATATAAATGATTTAAATCCTCAAAACTGTTCTAGGTAAAACGCATCCAGTGTCTAAGCATGGTACTTACACAGTTACACTTGGTTTCATCGGAAAACATATAGATTAACGTAAGCTTAGTAAGAGATATCCAAAAGATTTTTTTAATCCGCAAAGATATCCGATGTTCTGTATGATTTAACATCCAATATTCATACTCATCCGAACTAACCAATCCAGCGGTCACAACTTTTGGTTGTGCATTGTTTGAAATTCATGAGCTAAACATGCATAAACTAACTTTCCTTTAAGTATCTTCGGTTTCCATATTTAATATGCACCAATATATCATCAAAAATTTATCAAAAAAAAAAACCATATCATCAATTGAGAAATTTTGGGTTTAAGATGGTTTTAGATTAGTTAAGTGCTGTCAAATAAATACAGATATGATTTAACAATATAGGTAGTTTGGTACCAACCGTTCTTAATGAGGTGAAAACTGGATAGGTATATATGAAAATATATTGGTTATTGTATTTTTGGTAGATGGTTTGAAACTTTTCTGATCATATTTATATACTCATCGCATTCTTTTGTTACACATGCAACCGAATTCAACAAAATTGAATATATGAGCACATTTTCTTAAATAGTTAATTTCCCAAAAAGAAAAAGAAACGTATGCCAATTAACTATCTTTTTCTCTGGTGCATGGCAGAGGAGCAAATAAATTAACCGAAAGCTTTTAGGGGGGACGACCTACTGAAAGTTTTAGAATACAAACTCATCCTATCATGCATAGGATTGTAGTTATAGTCTTTAAAATATCAAGTTAATCAAAGACGATTAAAATCAGAAAATTGTCAAAATCCATAACTCATGTTATTATCCAGATTTAGGAGAATATTAATCAGTTATTATATCCCTGAAAGAAATTTTATAATGTACCATGAAATTAAAGCGTAAACTAAGAGAGATATCTGTGTGTCAGGTAGGAACATGACAAGACAATAACATCCTCCTCGATGAAATTCAGGAACAGAACTAGTCTACTAGACCTGGTCTCTCAAATAGTCAAATCTGACCGAGTTAATGTTAATTAATTAATGACATATTTAACACACGTGAAAGTGATAATAATATGATTTATTTTCTTGTCAAAGTGATGATATTTATCTTTTTAAGAATCTATTAATAATTAGGTCAACCTTTTCTTAAAAAAAAAAAAAAAAGAGATGATAATTCTTCAGCATAATAACCTTTTCCGAAATATACGATTAGGAGACCTAAACGGTGTCGTGAAACTACGCAAGGGATATAAATAGAGCCACCAAATAGCCAACAAAGTTCACATTCACTTGCTCTCTTTTCTCCAAAGAATCTGGTTCGTTTCAATTTTAGTTTCTCTGTCCTTCTTTTGTAATCTCGAATATATCTTCATCATCGTTACTTTGCTTACCTTTTCCGCAGTTTTTCTGAATAGTTTTAACGATTTTTTCTTTTGTGTTTTGGTTTTAACGAAGGCACAGAGCTAGGAAAGCATGGTGGGTGGTGGTTCTCTTGAGGATATCAAGAACGAGAATGTTGATTTGGTATGAACTCTTTCTTGATTTCTAAACACTCTGCAAAAACGTGTATATTTAAATTCCTAATATTTTAATTGCGTTTGCTTAAAATTTTGGTGAACTTTTCAAAACGTAATTTTGTCAACAATATGTCGCTTGAGTTCGTTATGTTTTAACGCTTGAGCTTCATATACATCGATTCGATCGTTAATTCTTTTTGTTTTGATCGATGAGAGAATAAAGATCTATGAAGAATTCATATT